TATGCCATGGTGGACTCAAAGAGGTTAAGGTGTTCAATTGGGTCCTCCCTTCCAGTATAGAGTTGTAAACCAAGCTTTTGTTTTGTCTTCGCTTGAAGGGGGATGTCGAGGATCCTTCTTGTGAGAGGGCCGAGCCTGGGTTGGTTCCAGTCAGGTATCTCAGCCTGACGTTCGACCTTCAACTTTTTTACTTCCTCAAGAAGTTGTAGGATAAGGGGGTCCTAAGTAGAGTCATGTACCACTGGGATTTTCTTTCGTAAGTCTTCATCGCCTCTTGGAAGTAAGAAAGTTTGAGCAAGGGCGTGTGATTTTTCCTTGGACTCACCGTACTGACTTCTAGGGTGAGTCTGCCGAAATACCTCAGAGTCCCTTGTACCTTCTTGTTCCTCTGGGACCTGTCGTTCCTTCCCTAGATTGGCAGCTAGCCTAGGTCGTTGGAGGGGACCAAGTCTTTCAGAAACCCTTGGGTCATTGATCTTCGAGCATATATGGATATGATTTTCTCGACGTTGCTTTAGGAAGTCTCGGCAGTCACGATAAACAACTTTCGAGCCTTCAAACCCTTCTGCAAGGAGGTGTCTTCCTCTACTTCTCCTGCTTCGGGTCGAAGTAGCTGGGTTGAGAGAATTCTCATGTTGATCAATGTTTTGATGATTAGCTCGCTCCTCATTAGGGATACCCATGTCGAAGGAAGGTGACCCACCGTGTTGGGCGGCACCCAGATGATGGTTGATGTCCACAGGGGCAACGAGGTCGCGTGTTTGAGTACGCCTAGTTTCGTGGAGCATCTTAAAGAGCTTCTCATACTGCTCCAGGAGGACCTCATTCTTCATTGCTATCTTGTTGTTCTGAGCTTCTAGCTTGGTGTGAAAATTATGTTGACACTCAAATTAACCCTCTTTTTATCAATTGTAGCAAAGTATGTAAGTAGGGATCGTTCTAAACCGGGGATTATGAGGGATTGCAAAATCACTTGAAAACTGACTCAAATACGTAAAAACAAGTTTAAAACACTAAACTAGACTCAAAGAATGCAAAACTAAACTTTAAAACACCAAAACAAACCAAAAGACTCAAAACAGCCCAAAAACACTCAAAACTGCCTTAAAACCACAATCTGGGCAGTTTTGAACACTAGACACAAACTTGGACGAAAATTGGTTTTAACTTGACCTAAGACACTTAAAAACACAAACTAAAGTGATGTCTAACTATTATGACTCAACTAAGAAAAGGGGGATTGATTTTGGACGAATTTAACTTTGAAAACAGAAACTTTGAAAACAAACTTTGACAAAAACGTTTTGATGAAAATTAAGATGGTGAAAGGCTAGTTAGAAGGTTCCTTCTCCACACATGAAACATATGCATACGACTCGATTTCCAATTACTTTTTCAATAAACCATGAATGACAATGCCCCAAATTAACTAGATTGACCAATTAATTCTCAGATTTCCCTAGATTTATTTAATTGAATGGGATACGCATTACAACCAAATTATTCTTATCAAGGACCCTAACTATGGAATACGCATGATAGAGACACATATCAAAGATCATTAAGTTCAATGGAAATCATAAGCATTGACGAGGCATTCATAACTATGGGATACGCATGTTACTCTTGCCTAGGATTTACTTAACACAATCGTGACTAGCGACTTTTACTACTTATGAATATAAGTTAATAACGATTAGGTGAAATTCCCTTATACTCTAGCATCAAATTAATGCATGCGAACTAAGTATGCATCCTTAATTAACACACAAGAACAAGTTATCAATCAAATAGATAAGTAAACCACATTCACGATTCATGAAATCATAATTGGAAGAAATCAAGTCATATAAAACATATGATCATGGCTTTGAATTCCCTTCTAACTATAAAGAAATTAGTTCCTCATGTTCGCAAATAAACAAAGATAAATAAATTTAAACATTGAAACAAAGATAGAAAACACCTAGAAACGCTCCGACAATCCAACGTCTTGAATGGCATACACGGCTCCAAGTTGTCTTCCTTCTTCTCCTTGCAAACTCACGGCACAATGAGAGATGATTGGTGAATGGTGTAGTGAAAATCTGGTAGAGGGTGGTTAGTGAAAGGGTGCGGCAATAGGTTGTATATATAGGCTGAAAATCCCATCTCCTAGGTAGCAAAGGACAAGGTTTTAAAGGCCTAAATTGCATAGGATAATAACATCCAATCCTATAAGGAAAACAAGTTAAAAACCCAAAGGGATTGGGAGATAATGTGCAGCATAAAGAGTGTGAAAAGATAAGGCTTCTAGAAACCAAAAATCCCAAGAGAAATAGGTATTAGGTGCGGCAAGGATCTAGGGTTCTAGAAGATAATGCAAGGCAGATTTTTAGGCTTCTAGAAAGGTTCCTAGGTGTCATCTTTGTAGGATAAGATAAGGTCTTCTAGAAATCCCAATTTAAGCATCCTAATCTAATTAGAAACCCTCCTAAATGGCTGGAATGTGGATAGTTTAGGATTAGGATAAGATAGGATAAGATAAGGTTCATTTGGATAAGATAAGCTAAGATAAGGTTATGGATGAGGTTTTGGATAAGATACCTTATCTTGAGCTGATTCATTGGCTTTAATTCTTCTTCTTTATGTAGGAAACCTTGCTTGAGTAGGAAACTTCATTCATCTAGGAATCCATCTTCAATTAGGACTCCTATATTGATTAGGAATCCTTCTTCGATTAGGAATTCTTCGTTTAAGCCCTTTCCTTCTTCAACTAGGAAACTTTGTATCTTCAATTCTTCAACTTTGAAACGCCTTCCTAGCTTCATCAATTCCTCAAATTCGTCCATCCCTTGTGCTTCATGTGCATGAACTTCATTCTAGCCCAATTTTGCTCCAAAATGCTCCAAATTGCATCCTTTTGCTCACTTTGTCTCTAAAACCTGAAAACACATGAAAATAGCTTAAAAGACTAACTTAACTAAGAAAACATAACATAAATGCATAAGAACTAGCTAACTAAGGCGCATAAATATGCTCCTATCAAATTCCCCCACACTTAGCTTTTGCTAGTCCTCGAGCAAAACGAAGAAACAAAACGAAACGACACAAAATAATCAACACATAACCTAAACCTTCCAACGTTTGTCTCAGGGATTCCCAATGTACATGACATATTAAAAATCATCATTCCCATAGATTTTAGTCATCTTCACACTTAAGCACATACTTAATCATAGTCACTACGTACTAGTTCACATATAACCATTTAAAACATAATTTTGAATGTAGTAACATGCCTTAGAGAATTTGCTCAATTCCTTACTAGATATGCACTCAATTTTCACACAGATTTTCTAACTCCACACCCTATACTAGTTATATGTGAGAAGATTGATGTAAATGTGAAAACGAACGCTCACATATATGTATAACAAAGAAAGCATTTTCGGGAGTTAATAAGCATTTAGATATGATCTCATGAATGGAATGCTACTACTTAGATGCGAGAACCAAAGATATCATATGCTCATACCAAGTCCAAACTCCACATATTGAAACACATAACAATCAAGATAGAAGCAAAGGGTTGTAACGGGGCTAAGGTATTGGCTAACAAAGAAAGGTAAGGATAAACAAACATTCTTAAAGAATAATAAGCAAAGTAATGAAATTGACACTTGGAATTCACTTTTGCATGCAAAAAACGATTTTGAAACACAAGGGGAAGACTCATGCAACACTTAGGGCCAAATTCAAGCTTTTTGGACCCTTTCTTCAACAACCAACACTTAAGAGCTCATTTTCTCATATTTTTCAACTCTTTTTCATACTTTTCACATTTTTTTCTTCATTTTTTTCTTTTTCTACGAATTTTTTTTTTTCTTTTTCTAACCCGTGCCCTCCTACTTCTTTTGGCACACAAAATTTTCCTTCCCCCACACTTAGTTTTCTGCACAATGTTAATCAAAAGGAATTCCCTCTAAGTCATGCTTTATTATCCTTTAAGAACAAGGGTATGGATAGTCCTAGGCTAGGTAAGGATAATGTGGCTAACAACAAAATAGGCTAAATAAGGCTCAAAGGGGCTAATCCTACAAAAACAAATGCATGGGTTGAAGGCTTTTTGGCTCTGGTGATAACTACTAAGCAACTTCATCTTGTTAGTTATGCTAATCAATTTTTTATGCTTTGCATGAAATAGGTATGAGTTCTAATATTTGGATCTATAATGATAACACGCCTTCTAAGTAGCAACCAAGCAAAGAATGATGAGATCATGCAACGACTTTAGAAAACAACAAATTCACAGATTATTAACTCTCCAAATAAACGTTTAGGCTCAAGTCTCACAGGGTTGTAGCATTAGTTTGAGTTCCTTCCTTCAAGCATGTTACAAAAACTGATTTTTTTTCCTTTTTGATTACATGTGAATTCATAAGTTATAACCACAACCAAGCATAAACCAAAGAGTAAATCAAACGTCCATCCATGTTTATAACTCTCTTTAACAGTCATGCAATTAAAAACCGAATCCTCATCATTGTGTTGGAAGGTACTCTACGACACAAACAAACAAAAACAACTTTAAAACGACTCTATTTTGGGTTTTTTTTTTCAAAACTTTTTCTATTTTTTTCTTGAATTTTCGGATTTTCTGGTAAAGCCACGTAAAAACACATCAAAACATTCTAAAAACACTTAAAAACAATGAAAAACAACCTTTGAAATGTTAGGCGGTAAAATCCTACGAATTTTTACATAAAAACACTTTGTTTACCCCCCCACACTTGAACCAAACATTGTCCTCAATATTTCAAACATAGACTCACACAAAAACAAGCAAATAACACAACTAGCAAACATGACAAATATGGCAAAGTAAAAGCAATAAAGAGTAGGGTTTAGAAACGCAAATCTGATTATGATGCCGGAGCTTCCTAGGTCTTCTTTATTCGCATGGGTTGCCTCCCAAGAAGCGCTTGCTTTAACGTCTTCCAGCCGGACGATGCTGCCAATCAAGCTGGAATAGGGCCCACGGGTTGGAGATTGACTTCCTCCACGGTTTCCTCCTCAAAAGGTGTGAAATATGGCTTCAAACGATGTCCATTGACTTTGAACTCTTGTTGCGTCTTCAGACTTTGAATTTGAACTGCACCATGCGGAAAAACATTAGTAACAATAAAAGGTCCAATCCACTTAGAACGCAACTTACCTGGGAATAACCGAAGGCGAGAATTGAAAAGTAGCACTTTCTGCCCGATAGAGAACGTCTTGCTCCGAATCATCCGGTCATGGAATGCCTTCGTTTTCTCCTTGTAAATACGAGAGTTCTCGTAAGCTTCATTCCTAACTTCCTCAAGCTCGTTCAATTGAAGTTTCCTATGAAGACCTGCGGCATCAATGTCCATATTAAAGGTTTTGATGGCCCAATGTGCTTTGTGTTCCAATTCAACCGGAAGATGGCATGGTTTCCCATAAATGAGCCGAAATGGGGACATTCCAATTGGTGTTTTGTAGGCCGTACGATACGCCCATAATGCATCATTCAAGCGCAAGCTCCAATCTTTCCGGTTTGGCCCTACAGTCTTCTCCAAAATCTGCTTGATTTCTCTATTGGACACCTCCGCTTGTCCACTTGTTTGAGGATGATAAGGTGTTGCCACCTTATGCGTGACACTATATTTCTTGAGTAGCGCTTCAATGGTGCGATTGCAGAAATGAGAGCCCCCATCACTTATAAGTACCCGCGGCATTCCAAACCTTGCAAAAATGTTAGTCTTAACAAAATCTGCAACCACTTTAGAATCATTAGTACGGGTGGCTCTTGCTTCCACCCATTTTGAAACATAATCAACCGCAAGTAGAATATAAACAAAACCATGAGATGAAGGAAAGGGACCCATGAAATCTATGCCCCACACATCAAAAATTTCAACATTAAAGATGGGACTTTGCGGCATTTGGTCTTTTGGTCCTATACTTCCAGTTCGTTGACAACGATCACATGCCATGCAAAAAGTTCTAGCATCCTTAAAGATAGTAGGCCAATAAAAACCACATTCAAGTACTTTACGTGCAGTCCTTTGAGTGCCAAAGTGACCTCCGCATGCATAAGTGTGACAAAAGTTTAAAATAGATTGAAATTCAGAATCATGCACACACCTACGAATGATTTGATCAGAGCAATATTTCCATAAATACGGATCATCCCACACATAATTTCGTGCATCATACTTAAGTTTATCACGTTGGTTTTTATTGAACTCACTTGGGATGACTTTAGATGCTAAATAATTAACTAAATCCGCATACCATGGCATACTAACCTCAATGGACATCAATTGCTCGTCCGGGAATGTCTCTGGGATCGGCACAACCTCTTCTTCATGCACCAAACGGCTCAAGTGGTCAGCCACAACGTTCTCACTTCCTTTCTTGTCTCGGATTTCGATATCGAACTCTTGGAGAAGAAGCATCCATCGAATAAGCCTTGGTTTAGCCTCCTTCTTTGTGAGCAAGTACTTCAACGCTGCATGATCAGTGTAAATTATGACTTTAGTACCAAGTAAATACGAACGAAACTTATCTAAAGCAAAAACAACGGCGAGAAGTTCTTTTTCCGTTGTGGAATAGTTCAACTGAGCATCGTTCAAGGTCCGAGAGGCATAATAGATGACGTGTGGCTGTTTGTCCTTCCTTTGTCCCAAAACAGCGCCTAGAGCATAATCAGATGCATCGCACATAAGCTCGAAGGGAATGCTCCAATCTGGTGGCCGAATGATGGGGGCCGAAGTTAGCATCTCTTTGAGGTGCTTGAATGCCTTTTCACACTCCTCGTTGAAATCGAAGGTCACATCCTTTTGGAGAAGTCGGCATAGGGGTGTGGAAATCTTCGAAAAATCCTTGATGAATCGCCTATAGAATCCTGCATGGCCCAAAAAAGAACGAACCTCTCTAACCGAAGTTGGAGAGGGTAAGTAGCGTACAAGATCTATTTTTGATTTATCAACTTCAATTCCCCTTTCAGAAACAATATGCCCTAAAACGATGCCTTGTTTTACCATAAAGTGACACTTTTCCCAATTTAAAACAAGGTTCGTTTCAACGCATCGTTTTAAGATTAATGTGAGATTTTCCAAGCACCCATCAAACGAATCGCCAAAGACACTAAAATCATCCATGAATACTTCAATAATCTTCTCAATGAAATCGGAAAAGATACTTACCATACATCGTTGGAACGTGGCCGGTGCATTGCATAGTCCGAATGGCATGCGCCGGTAAGCAAAAGTACCAAATGGGCACGTGAAGGTGGTCTTTTCTTGGTCGTCCGGAGCTATGACAATTTGATTGTATCCCGAATAACCGTCAAGAAAACAATAAAAAGAATGACCGGCTAACCTTTCTAACATTTGATCGATGAATGGTAGTGGAAAGTGGTCCTTCCTTGTGGTGTTGTTGAGCTTTCCTATAGTCAATGCATACTCTCCAACCTGTTTGAATACGGGTTGGCACAAGCTCATCCTCGGCATTCTTCACCACAGTAACTCCGGACTTCTTCGGGACAACTTGAACCGGTGAGACCCAACGGCTATCCGAAATTGGATAAATCACTCCACAATCGAGAAGCTTTATAATCTCCTTTTTCACGACTTCCATCATCGGAGGGTTGAGCCGGCGTTGAGCCTCTCGAGTTGGTTTAGCCCCCTCCTCTAGAAATATGCGATGCATGCATGTTGTAGGGCTAATTCCCTTAATATCGGCCAATGTCCATCCAATGGCTGTTTTGTGCTCTTTCAACACCCGAATCAACTTTTCTTCCTCTAATGCCGTGAGTGATGAAGAGACAATGACGGGCAACGTCTCTTCATCTCCCAAGAATACATACTTTAAATGATCCGGCAACGGTTTAAGCTCAAGAACGGAGGCCTGAATCACAGAAGGTAACAACGTATTAGTGGAAACGGGAATTGGAATTGGGTTAGAAGGCTTACCACGATGTTGGGGCAATGATTCCAAGGCAGCCACAAGCTCGGCATGCTCCTCCTTAGGTACGGCCAGATTGGGCTTTATGCCAAGTCCTTGTGCTATCGTCGTTTCAAGGGGATCGTCTTCCAACATATCAAGATAATCCTGCGCCAATTCATCCAATATATCAATAGAAAAACAAGAATGATCATCTTTAGGAAATTTCATAGCTTCAGAAATGTTAAAGTTAATAATCTCCCCATCAAATTCCATTGTCAACGTCCCTTTGAACACATCGATCTTGGTGCGTGCTGTTTTCATGAAGGGCCTCCCAAGTAGAATCGGCAATGGGGTGACATTTGGTGAGTCCTCCATCTCTAAGACATAGAAATCTGCTGGAAATATCAAGTTATCCACCTGCACCAACACATCTTCCAAAACTCCTTCCGGATATGCATTAGAACGATCGGCTAATTGAATTATAACACCATCGTTTTTAAGCTCTCCTAAGTTCATGGATGCATATATTGAGTATGGCATGACGTTAATTGAAGCTCCTAGATCTAACATAGCATGTTCAAATTTAGTATTGCCTATAACACATGGAATTGTAAAACTACCTGGATCTTTGCATTTAGGAGGTAGTTTTCTTTGCAAAACAGCGGAAACATTCTCACTTACCTGGACCACCTCTTTGTTCGAAATTCTCCGTCTTGTTGTGCATAATTCCTTCAAAAACTTGGCATACCTAGGTACTAGCTTAATTGCGTCAAGAAGAGGTATATTGACTTGCACTTTCCGAAATGTCTCTAAAATGTCTTTTTCGGTCTCCTCCTTCTTGGATTGCTTCAACCTGCTAGGAAAAGGCACGTTTAATGGAATAGAACTAGACAAATTCGGTTTGAGCTTACCTTGGCCGAATTATATAGGTTGGAAGTGCAAGATGGCTGCGGCAAAGGATGTTCCATCCTTGCCGTGGTTGAGGTTTGGGGTTCTTCTTCAAACGATAGCTTTTCATCCTCTTTTTGACTTGAATTGGATGCTTGGGGTTCGGTTCCAACTGGTTTGCCACTCCTTAATGTAATTGCTTTGGCGGTTTCGAATCCCCCTTTTGGATTTGCAATGGTTGAACTAGGGAGTCTTCCTTGGTCTCGAAACTGTCCCATAAACTCGGTAATTTGCCCCACTTGCTTCTCTAACTCGTCCACCTTCTTGTCCCTAGTCTGCATGCCCTGCGCCATAGAAGTTAGTAAATTAAAAATTTGATCATTATCAATAGAAGAACCTGATTTTTGGGCGGGTTGTGCTTGGGTTTGATTTGGTGCAAACGGTTTTTGATAGAAACCCGGGGGTTGTTGCCTAAACGTGCTTTGTTGTTGGCCTTGTTGGGGTTCTCGCCATTTGAAATTTGGATGATCACGCCAACCGGGATTGTAGGTGTTAGAAAAGGGATCATTCCTTTGTTGGTATTGTTGCCCAAAGCCCACGGCATTGAGGGTCTCCCACCCTCCGTTCTCGATCAATTGTGGGCATTTGTCCGTAGGGTGTCCTTGCATGGAGCATACGCCACACGCACTTACATTTTGAACTTTTGGCCCTTCCACAACCTGAGAAAGCAAAGTAGTAAGGTTAGCCATTTGATTTTGAAGTTCGGTTATGGCACTTACCTCATTCACTTGGTGTTGCCGTGGGGTGCCTCTTTGTCCAACACCTTCGTATTGTTGAGCGTTTAATGCTCGATTGGCAATCAATGTCTTTGTTGCCGTAGGGGTCTTGTCCACCAAGGCTCCTCCTGCCGAGGCATCTAGCATTTGTCGTTCGATTGGTAGAAGTCCCTCGTAGAAGTATTGTAGAAGAAGCTCCTCCTTCATTTGATGCTGTGGACAAGAAGCAACAAGTGATTTAAACGTTCGTAATATGTAGGAAAAGACTCACCTTCTTCTTGTTGAATTCCACTTATCCTTTTTCGTAGGAGGATGACTCGAGAAGTTGGGAAAAACTTCTCCAAGAAAGTTCTTTTCATGCTCTCCCAAGATGTGACCGTTCCGGGAGCTAATTCATATAACCAATCTTTCGCCTTTTCCAGGAGAGAAAAGGGAAAGGCCTTCATCTTCAATATACTCCCGTCGACATTGATTGGAGTCATGCTTGAACATACCACCTCGAATTCTTTCAAGTGCTTGTTAGGATCCTCCATGGACAACCCATGGTACTTCGGAATATGGTGTAACAAACTTGACTTTAGCTCGAATTCCTCGGTCTTTCCTTGAGCAGCCGCCGGATATTGAATACATAGAGGTGCGGCATTGTCCAATCCCGAAGCCGAGAGCTCCTTGATTGTACGATTGTCTTGTGCCATGGCTGTCTCAACTTCACCCACTTGTGCCGTGGGTTCCTCTTCCACAATCTCAACTTCGGCTTCCGAATTTGAACTTGATTCACTAGGTTCTGGATTCTTCCTCTTTCGTCTCAACTCTCGTTCAAAATCGTCGTCAAAGTCCAAGATGTGTTCACGAACCGGATGAGAGCTCCGAGTCATAAACTAGTACCTAAAACACGAAATAAAAACAAAGTAAAAATCTGGACTCAAATCAACAAATTGAAATAAAACAATCCAAGGGATTAGCAACTTTGCTAATCCCCGGCAACGGCGCCAAAATTTGGTGTGAAAATTATGTTGACACTCAAATTAACCCTCTTTTTTATCAATTGTAGCAAAGTATGTAAGTAGGGATCGTTCTAAACCGGGGATTAGGAGGGATTGCAAAATCACTTGAAAACTGACTCAAATACGTAAAAACAAGTTTAAAACACTAAACTAGACTCAAAGAATGCAAAACTAAACTTTAAAACACCAAAACAAACCAAAAGACTCAAAACAGCCCAAAAACACTCAAAACTGCCTTAAAACCACAATCTGGGCAGTTTTGAACACTAGACACAAACTTGGACGAAAATTGGTTTTAACTTGACCTAAGACACTTAAAAACACAAACTAAAGTGATGTCTAACTATTATGACTCAAACTAAGAAAAGGGGGATTGATTTTGGACGAATTTAACTTTGAAAACAGAAACTTTGAAAACAAACTTTGACAAAAAAACGTTTTGATGAAAATTAAGATGGTGAAAGGCTAGTTAGAAGGTTCCTTCTCCACACATGAAACATATGCATACGACTCGATTTCCAATTACTTTTTTCAATAAACCATGAATGACAATGCCCCAAATTAACTAGATTGACCAATTAATTCTCAGATTTCCCTAGATTCATTTAATTGAATGGGATACGCATTACAACCAAATTATTCTTATCAAGGACCCTAACTATGGAATACGCATGATAGAGACACATATCAAAGATCATTAAGTTCAATGGAAATCATAAGCATTGACGAGGCATTCATAACTATGGGATACGCATGTTACTCTTGCCTAGGATTTACTTAACACAATCGTGACTAGCGACTTTTACTACTTATGAATATAAGTTAATAACGATTAGGTGAAATTCCCTTATACTCTAGCATCAAATTAATGCATGTGAACTAAGTATGCATCCTTAATTAACACACAAGAACAAGTTATCAATCAAATAGATAAGTAAACCACATTCACGATTCATGAAATCATAATTGGAAGAAATCAAGTCATATAAAACATATGATCATGGCTTTGAATTCCCCTCTAACTATAAAGAAATTAGTTCCTCATGTTCGCAAATAAACAAAGATAAATAAATTTAAACATTGAAACAAAGATAGAAAACACCTAGAAACGCTCTGACAATCCAACGTCTTGAATGGCATACACGGCTCCAAGTTGTCTTCCTTCTTCTCCTTGCAAACTCACGGCACAATGAGAGATGATTGGTGAATGGTGTAGTGAAAATCTGGTAGAGGGTGGTTAGTGAAAGGGTGCGGCAATAGGTTGTATATATAGGCTGAAAATCCCATCTCCTAGGTAGCAAAGGACAAGGTTTTAAAGGCCTAAATTGCATAGGATAATAACATCCAATCCTATAAGGAAAACAAGTTAAAAACCCAAAGGGATTGGGAGATAATGTGCAGCACAAAGAGTGTGAAAAGATAAGGCTTCTAGAAACCAAAAATCCCAAGGGAAATAGGTATTAGGTGCGGCAAGGATCTAGGGTTCTAGAAGATAATGCAAGGCAGATTTTTAGGCTTCTAGAAAGGTTCCTAGGTGTCATCTTTGTAGGATAAGATAAGGTCTTCTAGAAATCCCAATTTAAGCATCCTAATCTAATTAGAAACCCTCCTAAATGGCTGGAATGTGGATAGTTTAGGATTAGGATAAGATAGGATAAGATAAGGTTCATTTGGATAAGATAAGCTAAGATAAGGTTATGGATGAGGTTTTGGATAAGATACCTTATCTTGAGCTGATTCATTGGCTTTAATTCTTCTTCTTTATGTAGGAAACCTTGCTTGAGTAGGAAACTTCATTCATCTAGGAATCCATCTTCAATTAGGACTCCTACATTGATTAGGAATCCTTATTCGATTAGGAATTCTTCGTTTAAGCCCTTTCCTTCTTCAACTAAGAAACTTTGTATCTTCAATTCTTCAACTTTGAAACGCCTTCCTAGCTTCATCAATTCCTCAAATTCGTCCATCCCTTGTGCTTCATGTGCATGAACTTCATTCTAGCCCAATTTTGCTCCAAAATGCTCCAAATTGCATCCTTTTGCTCACTTTGTCTCTAAAACCTGAAAACACATGAAAATAGCTTAAAAGACTAACTTAACTAAGAAAACATAACATAAATGCATAAGAACTAGCTAACTAAGGCGCATAAATATGCTCCTATCATAGCTCATCGACTTTAGCTTGAAGAGCAACCATTTTTCCTTCTTTATTTCGTTGCTTCGCACTGGTGCAATAGATGTGTCATTCTATGTGTTGTGGCTTCCTTCGCTCCCTATGTTGGAGAGGGATGCTTGGTCAAAAGAGAGTGTATGAATTGTGGAAACCAGCTTAACAAAGCTGAAGAGAGTGGGAATAAGTTTCGTTCCCACAAACGGCGCCAAATGTTGATGCACAAAATCAGTGAGGACTTTGGTACAACAGAAAATGTTAAGTTTGTGACCTTCGCTAGATTGCTCTGGTCACTAGAGTGGATAAGTATGTAAATAGATAGGGATAAGGAAGCAAACACAAGATGTACGTGGTTCACCCAGATTGGCTACGTCCACGGAGTAGAGGAGTTTTCATTAATTGTGAAGGGTTTACACAAGTACATAGGTTCAAGCTCTCCTTTAGTGAGTACTAGTGAATGATTTAGTACAAATAACATTAGGAAATATTGTGAGAGAATGATCTCTATTTATGGAAGAGAATTTCTAGTTTCATTTTGATATTGACACGTGTCTTGCTGTGATTGGCCTCTGATGTCGACACGTGTCGCGTTATGATTGACCTGTGATCTTGACATGTGTCGCATTGTGATTGGCCTCCTGGTTGGAGGGAGACTCTTGTGGGTCCTTGGCGGTATACTATTGACCAGTGCTTAGTAGTTTCGGGTTTGGTCAATTATGGTACAAACAGTTTAAAATAATTTACTATTTTAGTAGTTATTTTTAGGATTTCTAAATGTATAAATATGCGAGATGTTCAATCAAATGGGCAGATTCTTGCAAGCAAATGTATTCGACTCCTAAACTACTTTGTTTCTTTTATGTTAGTTAAATAGAAAAGAAAAGTAATTTCTTCACAAATGCATTGAGTTCTATAATTTCTTGATGAACAGTTCTATGAGAAACCTTTAATCAAGCATCTTCAAAATTTGCAAAATGGAAGCAATAATTTTGGAAGCGGGTAAAGCCATAAAACAAAAATAGAAAAACTGTATGAGAAAAATGGTTTTTGTGGGCATATTTGTACAAATATATAGATATTTATAGAGTTTTTTTGGGTGAAATTTGAGTTAAATAATTTTTTTTAATTGTATTAGCCATTAGATTTAAATTTAGGTGACACACACCAACCCGGAATGTCCATTAGGACTCCAAATCGAGTTGTGTTGGCCGACACCTGGAAGGTGACGAAGCCATAGTGTATAGTGATGTGGAAAATGTGAATAAATTTAAACCTAAAAGTGCCTAAAGACAAGAGTGCGCTGTGAGCGGGAACGAACCCATTTCACACGCGACGTCAGAGCATAAGTAAAGTAGAGGAGTGTGGATAAGGATCATACTCTTGGAGGTAGCCCCCTATACTGAGATTCACCATGAATCCTCGTGGATACGAACTTTCAGTCGCTAAAACCTGGAAGGGCTAAAAAATAAGAATGAGTAGGCTTCAAAATAAAGTTTTTAATAAAAACCTTTTGAAAACGTTATAACCCCTCACCGTAAAACCCGTATAATTTTCCAAAAAATAATAATACATACGTATACAGAAATCATGCTCGAGAGTAGTGAAAACCGAGTTTATGCCATGTCAAGTATCTTAGCAATAAAATAAGTAAGTCAGGTGAGATAAATTAATGTAAAATGATATGCCAGCCGGAGTCACCTGACGTGACTTGTACGGCTAAACCTATAGCTCATCAACCAATTCCTGCACACGAGTCGGAACCACCTAATGTGGTTTGTACGACAGGGCTGGGTGTAAAATAAGTACGCTCAAGTGCTACGATCACGTGATGGCTGCGAATAATCGCGGGTCACCTACAAGTTGGAACCACCTAATGTGATCTGTACCACAGGGTTGTGCACCAAACTTGGATCCAAGGTGAGCGTGCAGTGCGGGAGATGAACATCACGTGAAGGACTGTGCCCCGGCCACGGGTGGGAGCACTAACACTGGGGTGCAGGATAATGAGCTCTACATGCCTCTACGTATAACCATGACCAATGCAACTATGAACATCATGCAGTACTCACCTGAACATACCTGGCCTCTGTAGCGTCATACAATAGTATGCATATACATACCAATGCATATACTAAAATGAAATGCAAGCATGACATGACATTTAAAAACGTAAATCCATTTAAAACAATTTCTAGGAAAATAGAAAACATATATACGTATATATAGAAAACCAAAAGCCCACTCACCTGGAGTTTGTGTTACAACTCCCTAGCACAAACATCAAGGTGTCACGAACGATTTGCGCCTAGAACAATTATCAAATCATGTTTTAGAATTCTTATCAATAGAATACGTAACTTACATATCATATTTGGAAAGATTCATATGTCGTATTCCCAATCAATAAGTTTCTAATATCCTTAAATATTACGTATTATAACGTATCAAAGTTTGCTGAAGATCCAACGGTTGGATCGTCGATTGTTATAGTAATGAAGTTACGAACCTTAATGGAACTACTTT